CGGGAGCGCGGATGGGTCGTGCCGGCGCGGCAGTGTGACAGCGATTGCGGAGCGGCACGGCGAGAGCTGGGGGGGCTCTGGGAAAGGCGGGGTAGGGGTTTGCTTGTGTCTCCCGGGAGTTCTCCCCCTCTGTAATTTGTACACCCCAGGATTTCTGCCTTTCGACAGCTTTTGAGCTTTCCGTTTACTTCTCAAATTGCGAAAGACAATAGATTGATACTTTCAATGACGGACAGTCAAATGGCGCAAAAAAGAAAGAGCAGGTTTTTAAATACCGGAGGCTATAGAAGGGGGAAAGATTAAGCATTCTGTCAGAAAGATTCAAAGATGTGCTCTGCTGCTGTAGTTATTGCTTATCCACAGTTCTCAAATAACTTAAAACAGTTCTGTGGCTTATCTGCTAACTAGAGACTTTTGCAACAACCCACATGGCCAAGATTTTCTATCCTATTGCATGTACCAAACTATTTCTTGACTGAAGAGTTTGCAGATACTGGGGACTTGGTGATGCTAAAAGAATTCAGTGCTCAAAAACTGATTTCCAAGAATTGTGTAGCTTTCAGCCACATCATTTACGTATGTAATTGTAGGTTGCAGTTGTTGCTTGTTGCTCCACAGTCATTTTAAATGGCATGTAAACTTAATTTGAATTACATCTGAAATACTCATAAAATCACCAGAATAGTCTCTTTAGTAACCTTCTGACTTTTCTTTGTACACTGATTCAAGAAAGCATCTTACCAGGTTTGTTAAAAGCAGACCTATTATTGCATTCTCTCCAGAGGTCTTAATGAAATAGCAGTCAAAGAAACAGTCAGGACTTCAACATGGCTTTCCATGCGGAGGGGCTGGTGGCCATAATTGTATTCTACCTGGCTATCCTGGCGGTTGGGATATGGGCTGCTTGGAAAACCAAGAACACTGGCAGCGAAGGAGATCGCAGCGAAGCTATTATAGTCGGTGGACGAGACATTGGCTTGCTAGTTGGTGGATTTACAATGACTGGTATGTAAAAAACACGTTTATTATCTTTTTTCCTAACCAACATATAACTTGTCAGTTTTCCATCTGAATGAAGAAGTGTAATCTTCACGTTGAACAATGCAAAATGGAAAAAATACATGTACTTTATTTTCCAGTTGCAATTAACATTGTTTAGTGAACAGCCAAATGTAGCATCTATGTAAATACGATAAATATTTTAAAATCATACGTGAAGAATATATTAAAATTCCTATTTATTGCTTCTATATTCCTCTATAGATCAACATGTTTGGGACAGAAGTATAGAATTTATATAGATAATAAGAAATTCAGTTTTAAAAGAGCTGTTATTGTTAAAGCTATCCAAAATGGTGAGTTATTTTTGTTTAATCTGAGTAAAACAAAGTTTATATGCAAAAAGATGGGGGGGAATGTCCAGCATCAATTAAGAATAAGTTTCTAAAAGAAAGTTGCATTAAATCTAAGCTTGTAATTCCACTGATTTCAGCAAACTTACATTGTGGATTGTCTTAGATTCTTCTGCAGCAGGTTGACAAAATCATACATTACTGTCAATAGTAGTATCAGTAAGAAAAGCCTGGGTGGAGGAAGAGTTCTTCACTAATTTTGTAAGCAGTGCTGTCTGGCTCCCACAGCCAGTAGAACCAGGTGTCTTACCTGGATAAATAAGAAATTCATAATATGATGCAAAATCTCAAGTCTTACAGCAAATATATGATATGGGGGAAAAAATGCAGTGTAATAAGAGTGAATTGGCCCACCATTTTTATTTATGCAATCTTTCCCCTTTTTTTAAATTAATTTATTTTAAGACCTATTCAGGCAAAGCCCTTTCAGTTTCCACGTTGGATTTACCAGGTTATATTTATGTTTTGCTGTTTTGCCCTGTTCTGGTTTTGCAATTATATAGTAAGGGAGAGACACATAAAAACTTGGGCCAGAATTCTGTGTTCTTTAACCAAGAGAATTTCCTATTTCCTGCAGGGGCATTTTGCTCATTTATAGATTGAATATTTGGATATAAAGTAAAGAATGTTTGTAAAAGTCAGTGAAGTTTGAATACAGGCAGACATTCTGCTTTTCACACTTTGCTATAATTTGCTGTATCACTTATCTATTGGCTATTGAAACATTAGATATGATAGCAAGAGCTGGTTTTATTGCTTTCTGCTGAATGAAATGTTTTCAAGAGCATTGTAACCAGAATATTTTGCAGAGAAATTGCTTGCCACAAAACTGTAACCATTAGATCAGGGAGCAGAGACAAAACAAGACATACCCCGCTCAAATGGTTATGACTAACGACTTTGCTTGCGGAAGAAGACACAAATGCTGGTCTCCTTAATTCTATTTTGCAGGAATATTTTTCGGAACAGCTGAAGCAGAGATGAGACGTGAACTGGGGCTTGCTATATTGCAAGCAGTTTCTGTAGCCACCACAATTCACACCCACTCATTCCACTTCCTGCAAGCTGTAGAGACAGTGTAGTAGATCATCCCTGTGGTGGAGTATCAGACTGATCCTAAAGCCTTTGGGCAGCTAAAACACTCATGGATTTTGTATCATCAGGGTTTGCACACTTTCTCACCTGTCCCTTCCTTAAATTGAGCAATTAAAGCTTGGCATGGCAAGTAAATTTGGTTTCAGGGAACCATGTCTGGCACACTGTCATATGTGGCACCTGGCTGCTGATTCAGGGGTTAGTCCGAGTTTTGTCTCATAGAGGGTGGTTGGAGAACTCAGTTTGTAAAGCCATAACTAAACAAATATGAAAGGAAGTCAATAAAAATCTGCAGTAATTTTTACTAAATGGTCACATTATTCAAGGGCATATTTGCTTCTTTAAAGATGATAGATGCTAATTTTGCATCTCATAACCATGGCTCCAGATATGTACGGCTAGTCCAACATCATCTTTGTATTTTTCAGTTTCAATTGTCTAAACATGAATTAAAAACCAAAGCCTTTTCCATTAAAGGAAACAAGAAATTCTTCAAGATCTCCAGAAAGGGTATCGTTCGTATGGACATGAAATATTTTTGGATATGAGATAAGGCCTAATTCTGTCTTTCTTGCCCGAGACAAATCCTACCATGTGCCATGGATACTGGCTACAAAAATGTGGTTAGTTTCTAGGGATACTTGGTGGGGAGGATGACAGAACTCAGACTATAAATTTAAATTAAAATTCAGAGCATAAGTGTTGTGACTTCATAGGGATGGACTCAAGATTCCAGAGTAATTGTAGTTGATTTTCTAAATGGCATTGAAAAACCTTAAACAAATGCACTGCCTATGAATAATGGCTATGGACGTATTAGGATATATACTATTAACCTGAAGAAGCAGCTGTATCAACTAGCTACTGAAATGGCTAACACAAAGCCTGTTGAAGGGTCTGTGTGTTGGCAATTATCAAAACAGACAGAATGAAAAGATTGAATAGGAAGCAGCTCATGCTAAAATGAGAAAACATAGTACCATAGTAGACATGCCTTTAACGTCTGTATCATTCTTATATAATTACAGTCAAAATGTTTCATCGAACATTAGCGTTCCTTAATTTCTGGGTGAAATTCTTTAGAAGTGGTATCTGAGACAAACTTGAGTCTATTCTGATTTCAATGATTGAGATTAAACCCCAAAAGAAGTATTTAAGGTGACATAATCAAATGCTTACAAACATGACCAAAAGGGTAATAATCTATTGATGTAATTTTTTCATGGATGGAGCTACATATCCTTCCACAAGGAAAAAAAAAATATATATAATTCTATTTTTTGTAATCATTAGGTCAAGATCTTCATTTTACAGATCTTGATGAGCTGATTCAATGATTTTACTGGTCAGAAAAAGGGATCATTCAAAAAGAAGTGCCAAAAAAATCTGATTTTCTAATATATACCTATATAGAAAGAACTCTGAAATTCATTTCTGTGTTATTCATACGAACTAGGAGCAGAACTGCACTCTGTACCTTCATTATTTTTCTGATCATTTTTTAGGGTACATGTTTTAAATGGATGTTGATATTTCCTGTATTTTTTTGGTCCTTCAGACAGCAGGCAAAGAGAAGATTAAAACAGATTACCACATCAGTGTTTCCATAGATTATTAAATTTTATATTCCTTTCGTCTGATTTAGACCAAAGCTAAAAAAAAAAAAAAAAAAAAAAAAGAAAAAAGAATTTTACCCAAAAAGGTATTAAACAAACTTTAAATTGTGGCTTAGCAAACTGAGGATCAAAAAATTAATATCTAAAGCTGAAATCCCATCTTATTATATCCCATTATTTCTTTTGTCATGTGTTTACTGATGCCAATGTACATGCTGACTACCCACTCACCCCCTCAGAAAAAGCCTTATAGCACCATCCAAGAGCTCTGGGGTCCTTGGCAGATGTTCCAAAACAGTCATGTGCACTGAAATATTGATAGGCAGCTATTTTTCAAATCCCAGTCAAGAAATCAAGAAATAAAATTGAAAATAAGTGCTAAATAATCCATTTCACCAACAATAAATGTCCTCAGGGAATTGCTCCTCTCCCCAGCCAGGGGAGAGCAATGTCCTCTGCAACATCGCACAGAAGGGAAGTGACTTGGTCTCCTCCAGAAGAAAATAAGGGAGCTAGGCATAGTGTCCACGTGCCCCTTGGAAAACACCCGCCACCTTAATAGCAACCCCAGGCAAATCGATGCCAGACCCTGAAGCCTTCTTTGCCACAACTGCAGCAATGTTGGACATCTGTCCTTGACTATGGGACAGTATTCCCTGTCTGGAAGTGGGTATTGTTCCTGCAGCATTCATGCTCATGCT